AGAGTGAGGCTCAAAGAATTTAAATGACTTGGCCAAGATCTGCTCATAGTCACTGTCCTTACAATGTAATATTTTTTGTAATATCATATTTGTAATATCATATTTCTTATATTTAGTCCTTTGCCACCTATCTTGATTTGATTTTGCCTATTTCCCCATTAAATTAGCACGTACTTTAATTTAGGTATCATATACATCAATTAAAGTATCATAAACATTTTAACTATATTCAGGTAATGTGTTCAAAGATATTTATCTACTGCCATACAAAAACTTAAAGTTAAAATTTGATATTTGTAATGACATCAAAATGAAAGAAAAACAGTCCATATTTTACAATTCATATTTCCATTGTTTCACATTCAAATCTTTCTCATTGGTAATGACAGGTGCCTTAATATGAAGCTTATTTATAGTAGCAATAAACCTAACTGTCTTGAGATGAAGTTTTAATTACAAAATACTGGATTTTTAATACACTGGTGTATTGTATTCAGTATTCTATACCCCTTTCCAGGCCTCTAGGTTGCATATTTATTTATTATGTTTAGTGTTTTGTCCTTAGTTCTTAAGGAATGAAGAAGCTGTAGCATCTCTTTTTAATATTATCTTGCAAGTAAAGAAAAAAATTCAGAGTATGTTTATAATTTTTTAACGCATGTATTTAAATCATTGCTGTAATAGTTTAAATTTATTTAGGAATATAAAAACTGGTTGTTCTATGATACATTGTGGTATGTAGAATCATTTCTTAGAAGGATTTGGGAAGACATTTTGATCCAGTGCTTTCAGGCAGGGCTGTTTTGCTGTCCAATTACATATAATAATATACAATTATTATTTCAATATAAGCTTACCCCAGTCCCATCTTTACATATGAAATTTTTACAGTTGTCTCATTTTAGGACATCCAAATTTTTCTGCTGCTTTTGCCAATTTGTTTTCCATTTGTTTATTAAAGAAAAGTGATTCTTGAGAAACACAGCAGCTTACATATTTAAAAAATAAACTATTTAATTTTCAGACTCTTGCATTTTACATTTAAATATGCTAACTTCACCGTCATAGAATTTCCAAACTGCATTTGTGCAGATTAAGCTGAGGGCTAAATGTCACCAACTGATTTTCAGTGAGGAATAAAACTGCTGATGGGCAGTGTGAGAGCCAGAGGAGTCCTCTAGTCAGGTATTACTTTTAGAACTAAGTTGAGTGAATAGGTAGCCAGCTCAGGAACAACTCCCCAGCAGCATGTGCATGAGCGGCACAGAAGTGAAATCTGTATATCTTTGTTTTAAGTGGTTTGAAGGAGAATCTGATATTCCTGAGGCTTTAGGAAGAAAGGATTTAAACCTTCAAATTTTTGACTTAATTAACTGTTAAAGAAAATATAGGTGAAAATGGAAGGCTGGAGAATGATTTTTTTGTGTGTGTACAGATAAAAATATAACAATTCAGTCTTTTTCTAGGTTCACAAATTTTAACTGATGCATTTGACTCTGTTTTACAACTACATTTTGATTTTTCTAAATGGTCATGTTCTGGTCATTTAGCAAAGTTATTTGATATTTACTGTGTACATAGAGAGCTTTATTAGGTGTGCTGTACCTAAATATTTTTTTGTCAAAATACATTATGGTCAATCAGGCCAACACTGCATATATAGAATTTGTTTTGTTAAATTTTTTTGGCTTAGTCTGTTGAAATACACTGCATTGTATCATAGCTACATCATTTTTGAGTAAGAGTGTTTTTTATAAGTGCAGGGCCTACCCCAATCAAGACATGTCTGTATTTTCTATTTGCATATACAGATACTTACATGTTGGCATTACTTTAACTATTCCCCCAGACCCTGTTCTGATCTAAATGGAATCTCTCAGTTTTCTCACTCTGTTCTCTCCCCATCCATGAGCCTTTCTTTATGCCTCTTTGCATCTAGCTGAGATTCCGGAGTCCATCATATTACTAGTAGTAACATTCTTTCTCAATACCTTGAACCGTTTCTCATCTGCATTTCTATTGTACATAGACATATCAAAGAAATTTCTCCATCTTGTTACGGACACAACAATCCAGTTTTTCCACATTTGCATCCCAGCAGCCTAATGCTGCTAGAGAAAAAGTCATAGACGACAAGGTGGAGCTACTATAGATTCACAATTGCCCACTGTCTTAGTCCTTTTGGGCTGCTATAAAAAACTACTAGAGGCTGGGCGGCTTAAACAAGACCTTTGTCACAGTTCTATAGGCTGGAAAGTCCAAGTTGAAGGTGCTGACAGGTTTGCTGTCTGGTGAGCCTTAGTTCCTGGTTCACAGACGCTGTCTGCTCGCTGTGTCCTCACATGGAGGAAGGGGCAATGGAGCTCTCTGCGGTCTTTTTTATAAGGCCACTACCCCAATTCATGAGGGCTTTGTCCTCATGACCCAATCGCCTCCCAAAGGCCCACCTCTAAATCCGTCACACTGAGGATTAGGTTCCAGCTTAATTTTGGTGAGACACAGTTTCTATCACCTACCTCAGCACTTCCTCGCAGTCCTCCAACAATTTCCTGGTAAACTTGACCTCCATTCTCCACAATTGCTTTTGCACAGTCTCCACTCTGCTCCTACCCCGAATCCCCCAAGAGGTGTCTTTACCATCTGCTTTTTCTTTGTGCGCTATGGACACACCAGAGACATTCTCAGTCAGCAGAAAAATCGGACAATATAGGAGTCCTAAATCTAGAGCCTAAGAAGTTGGCAAAGGAATTCAAAATACAAGTTTCTGTGCATGATTTCTGTTCTGTAGGGTCTTTAAAATCACAGAGTGATTAAGAATATCTGTTTTTCCCTCCCTTCTGGGAATAACAGCCACTTAATTCTGGGAGCTGCTGCTGCTCCCACTAGTATTGCTGCCAATGCTAGTACAAACTCCATCTGCGTGGGCACAGGGTTAGACATGTGATCCCAGCAGGGCCAGGATCCTAACTGAAACTAAGGGAAGAGGATTACTTTTGTTCTAATGACAAAGCTAGAGAAAGAGTCCTAGTTCTACCTCCCCTGAGGCCCAACCGCATCCTGATTCTGCAATCTTTCATTATCGAAGTAATAAATACCTACTTTGTGTGCCTAAAATAGGTCAAGTTAGAGTTCTTAATCTGCAGCCCAGAGGACCCTAGTTCAAACAGAAATTGGTTCCTGGAAACAAACAAACAGTGATTAGAAAGAACAAACAAAAAAGGTGTACTTTGCCCCTAGTGTGGACCCTGAGAGCCAGGTGTTTAAGTCTTCAGTGAAAGAGAAGTACTGTCT